ATCATAACCTGATGAGTTTTTTGACTTGAGGGACTGTATTACACTTTTAACCTCAGTTTCAGTGGTTGGAATGATATTAAGGCCAGAAAATTTTGCAGGAAATGCAGCTTTTAAAATGGAAACAGCATCTTCTGTCTTAAATTTAAGCTTTTAGTAATTGTTATAAAAAACTTATTGAAGTCATTAGCCACTGATCCTGGATCCTTTACTTCTTCATTGCGTATTAGAAGAGATGGCATCTGTTCTGATAAATATGTTTCCTGTCTCCCTTTTTATTATGTTCCATGTTGTTTTTATTTTATTGTCTGATTTTGCTAAAAGTCTACTGTAATGCTGCTTTTATAACATTATTCAGGATTTTACAATGCTTAACATAAAAAGCTCTTGCATTTGGGTCTTTACTGTTCCTACTGTAGATGTACAGACTCCTTTTATGTGTGCAAGATACTTTTATTCTTTGCATAATCCAGCCAGTCTATATTTTGCCTATAGTTTCATATGTAATAGGAAAACTAGCTTCAAAAATATTTAGAAATGTATTCAAAAATGAGATAAACTTATTGTCTTTGTAAACAGATTCCCAAGTTCCACTCTTTAGAAGAAGCTGGAACTGCATGATTGTTTGTTTCATTATTGATTTTTCTTTTCCTCTGTTTCAAAGGTACTAAGTTAGTTGTTGCAGCAATATTATATGATCTAGATAGGTTGTCTTGATAGATGATCTAGCTTCATTATCTGTTTTTTATATTTGTTTAGCGTTTTACAATTATATTAGTGTTCCCTAGGTGGATTTGTTTTTATTTATATTTCTTCATTTATTTTGGTTTGTGTTAATATTGTTTCTATTTTGGGTTTGCCTGTACTTAATACTGTACATGTATAAGTTTAGTTGATCTGTTTACCTCATGGGCTACACCCAAAACTGTGGCCTTTGTCACTGGTAATTCCTCATCACTGAAATTTGCTAATACTAGCAGAACTGTGCCTAAGCAATGGTTTCGAGTTGAACTGCAACCTTGCTTTTCGTTATCCTCGTTACCGTATGGGGTTTGCAACTCGCGGGTCGCCGT